CGTGTTGTTTGTGTACCACGGAGTGTCCGTTCTCCGTGTTGTTTGTGTACCACGGAGTGTCCGTTCTCCGTGTTGTTTGTGTACCACGGAGTGTCTGTTCTCCGTGTTGTCACCTTAGATCCTAATCCTTTTCTGATGCCGAGTCAAGTTCTACCCCGCTGAAGCTTTCCCCTTTCCTCTGATCTTCGAAATTGTCTGCACCACTGACATTTGATTTGTGCCCTCTTCCTTTTCGTGTGTATGTTTCACGTATTTATTTTTCTAGAACTGTGTTTTTTGTTCCTCACAGGCAGGTACCCTGGCTGCTATTTAGTCTTGTCCATTGTTACCCATATTTAGTATGGATGCTTAAAAAAGGTTTTAATGAATGAAAATTCAGATAATCAGAAGATGTTCTGAAACTTCAAGTTTCAGAATTTTATACATGAAAATACAATTTAGTCTCTAAACAGTAAAAATAATAAAGCAAGCTGTCTCAGTGAAAACAAATAGCTCTTTTTTAAATTATAAACTAAATCAATCACTAAGGGCACACTAAGAGACTAATTGTATTTTTCTTATTATAAAAGTAATAAATAACAAGTAATAAAAGTACTGATCATTGTAGAAGAAAAGTACTTTGGAGTTACACAATCTCCTACTTCATTTTGAGAGAGGAAAAAGATTCAGGGTCTGTTTTAGTGACAATTCATGTGAATTTTTATGACCCTTAACTTCACATATTTTTAAATTACCCATTCTTTATTAGTACCATGAAATAATACTCAATCATTAGCCTTCCTAAGTTTTTAGTGACCATCTCAAAATAAATTTAATGCTCCTATTTAATCCCTGGAGCCCTGGTGGCGTAGTGGTTAAGAGCTTGGCTGCTAACCAAAAGGTCGGCAGTTCATATCCACCAGCCTCTCCTTGGAAACCCTATGGGGCAGTTCTGCTCTGTCCTGTAGGGTCGCTGTGGGTCAGAACCGATTTGATGGCAACACGTATTTAATCCTAAGTATTGTTTGGTTGCTAGAAGGAAAATGTGAGAGTTTAGCTGCCTTTTGTTTGGATACCACATTCCTGTTACATCATTTAATTTTTATTTGGTCTGTTGCGTAATTCAGGGCATGTGATAAAACCACATCCTTAGCTCTTATAGTTTGTGTGTGTGTGAGAGCGAGCGAGAGAGAGCGAGCGAGTGAGCGCCGTTATTTAGTCATCCAACAAATATTTATTGACTGCCAGCTAAAAGTTACCTAGTTGGGACTATGGATGATACCAAAACCCCAAACCTGTTGTCATCGAGTCGATCCTGACTCATAGCATCCCTGGAGGATGTAGTAGAACTGCCACATAGGGTTTCCAAGGGGCGACTGGTAGATTTGAACTGCTGACCCTTTGATTAGCAGCTGAGCTCTTAACTGCTGCGCCACCAGGGATCCATGATGATAGAAATACTAATTAAACGTAGCTCCAGTAGGAACATTAAGGTGTGTATAAGACATTGTAATATTGTGATGTGGTACTTGAAGGAGGGAGAACTTAGTTCTGGCTGAGGCTCTCAGCAAAGGACCCAGAACTAGGAAATCTCACGTTGTATATAAGTGGTCATGCAAAGTCTTTTAACAGAAATCTGTGTAACTAATAATATCAGTACACTATATTTTCTGGAATATATCCAATTTCAGATACTTTGTTGTCTCAATTATTATATTTGTATGTTCAGACTGTCAGAATTTGTGCCTTACAATATAGTTATTATAACTACCTACCTAACATACCTTAGTTAAAAATGTGATGGTCTTATTTCTCCTTTTCCTCAAAATAGGCCTACAGAATGACTTGTGTAGTATAATTATCGACTTCATGCTAAGTTTCTCCTCCCCGTTCACCATATAAAAAATTGTAGTTTGGTGCAGTACAACCCCTCCTAAGCATGATTTGCATCTATATATAAATTATTGATTATTTGGTTAGTAATAGTTTGTAATACAGATTACAAATTTGCACTACTAATAAGCAAAGTCATTATGATAAAGCAACAGTGTGTTGATTGGCAGACCAAGCTTTACTATGAATATAGTCTTGGGACAGCTTTTGGCTACAGTTAACTGTAGCCCAGGCCATAAAATATGTATTGACCTTGTGCATTGTGGCTAGACTTGTTAATCCATTTTTTTATCCTTTTGAAGTTATCAAGTAGAGTTTTTTCTCATTTTGCCCTTTTATTTAGTGGGGCTTAGCCCACCAGAATATCAGTATACTTGAATAAATTAAGGATACATTAAATACTGTGCAGTTAACTCAGAGATACAAAGAGGAATGTATTTGGAAAGGATTCTGCTTAGACTGTTATGGCTTGCGTTTCTGGGTACTAGTGCAGACTGTGTGTGTGTGTATCAAAAAACAAACAAACCCGGTGCGGTCGAGTCAGTTCCGACCCACAGCGACCCTGTAGGACAGAGTAGAACTGCCCCATAGGGTTTCCAAGGAGCGGCTGGTGGATTCAAACTGCTGACCTTTTTTTGGTTAGCACATGTAGCTCTTAATCACTGCACCACCAGGGTTTCCAGGTATTTGTATAAGTATATATAAATATTAAAGTCATTCTTTGTGGTGTTTGTTTTATGCCTCAACACATAAACTTCTTTCAGCCTAAACTTCCTAAATAACAAATGGTGTATCATATTCCAACTTTATAGATGTTCCTATTAAATGAAGAAATGTTTGAATTCTTCAGAACCCAAAGTCAGTTCTTAAGA